CAACGCTGCAGTTATAAGAGAAAGGCGGTAACTCCATAATAATAATAATAATAATAATAATAATAATAATAATAATCAAAAGGTTGAGTTTGATCGTCCGGGTGAACGTAGTCCTGAATAGGACTGTTGTTGTTGACAGTGACCGACGTTTCGACAACCTGTGCGGTAGTCATCTTCAGAGTCAAAGTGAGTTGTATCACGTCAGTTGATGGTATTATACTCTGGTTATTGATCTGATTGGTCAATTATGTCGCGATGTTATTGTCGTCTGTCAGTTAAGCCGTGATGTTATTGGCTATGAAGACTCGTAATCAGTGATTGGTGCGTTTCGATCCGTCTATTGTCACAGTTAAACAGTCGTCTATTGTTAGTCAAATTGTCAGTTATCCAGTTGTTCTCTCGTAGTTAGTTTTGCTTGATCTCGTCAATAAGTCGTTTGTACGGCGCTGGTAACTGTTGGCTACGATTCAGTGGCGTTTGTTCTAAGTTAGTAAACCAGCTTTCTAAAGTAAGACGTTGATAGTTGTCTGTAGAATACGTCATACATGTCGCAGAGTCCAAGTCAATTTGATATTTCGTCTTTAAATGATGCTCAGCGAATGTGATTGATGACGTCACCATTCCTCGTCGGGCGTTTGTGTTCGGTCAGTCGCGTTCTTAGGTTTCTGCCGGTTTCACCAATGTAAGAAGCCTGGCAGTCGCAGCATTTGATCTTGTATACTGCTCCCTGTCTGTCCTCCGGTTTGTCTTTGTCCTTGACATTAGGAAGCAGTCGCCGTAAAGTGGTTATCGGTTTGTGCGCAACACGTATATTGTAAGGTTGTAATATACGTGTAATAGTTTCAGAGGTGCCTCTGATGTACGGTGAAGATGACTACCGCACAGGTTGTCGAAACGTCAGTCACTGTCAACAACAACAGTCCTATTCAGGACTACGTTCACCCGGACGATCAAACTCAACCTTTTGAAATGACTCCTGGGTTCAAACCTTTCACAATAATAATAATGGAATTTATATAGCGCTTATACATCGCTGTTCTACGCGCTTTACAATGTAAAAAAGGACATAAGAATATCATTAAGTACAAGCTTACATATAACCCTACTGTACACTTCTTAAAAAGGAAAGAAACAAAAAACAAACAAACAAAAAAAGAACAAAATCAAAAACAAAAACAAATATGACGAAACTAAATGTCATATACCATTTTAAAAAGAAACGATTTCAACCTAGATATAAAAAGATTAACATCAGAACAAGCTCGAATTCAAAGGGGAGCTTGTTCCATAGTCGGGGGGCAGCAACGGAAAACGCTCGCTGGCCATAAGTTTTCATGTTAAAATTTGGTTCTTCAAGGCGTAAATGATCGCTTGATGACCGTAATGTCCTTGCTTGACGGGGACCGGAGCCATTCAATGTTTTAAAAGTTATTAAATTTATTTTAAAAACAATTCTCTCCTCAACAGGAAGCCAGTGAAGATCTCTTAGAGTCTCGGTGATGTGATCTCGTTTTTTGAGACCGGCGATAATTCGAGCAGCCGCATTCTGAACGGACTGCAACTTAGCTATGTCCCGTTTTTGGGCACCAAAAAGAAGAGAATTACAAAAGTCCAACTTCGAGCAAACAAAACTGTGAATTAGAATTTCTGTTGTACTTGTACTGATATATTTTCTTATTTTAGAAATATTTCGTATGTGATAGAAGGCACCCTTAACTATTGTATTAACATGAGGTGAAGATGACATTGTGTCGTCAAAAATCACGCCAAGATTGCGAGCCTGTTGAGAGGGCCTGATGTTTTCCATGCCAACAGATATCGTGGGCGGGGTATGCGAGTCTGCTTGTCTGGACAGCGGAACCCTCCAGGCGATTGACGAGCGTCTACGACAGCTGATATTGTTTTCTGAAGCTACAAGATCATGTGGCTTGGATTCAGTGATATATGGCTTTGTGCTACTAACTTACTGGCTATAGTTCTCAACCTAGCAGGGGCATCAGCTCGGTTGGCTCAAGTTCACCTGAGTTCCAATACCTTAGAATGGGATACTCTTAATGAACTAAAACGTTTTGTTTTCACCTTTCCCATTGATGCTTCACGGAAACGTCAACTGAGGGATCTTCGCCGCCCGAATCGGTTCTGTTGTCTTAACTCCACTGGGCTATGATATTCCAGGCTTCAACGACTTAATAAATTTGTTTCAAGCGACAGGTTTTATAGTTTTAGAAGGCTTTAGCCTGTAGGGAATGGGTTTTTCTATGTTCCCCGAGGTGGCAACTCGAGAGAAGCGGCGAGATTAATGCTCCCACGCCTATATTAAACAATGAGTGCAAGTAAGAGTGTTGGGAAATAGAATACTAAGAAAATCTCAATAATCCAGTAATAACATGCAGACTCGTGTCAATCCTCCCAGAGTATGAAATGAAGCAATGGGGACTTCACGCAAGGACTATGGAAGCGTCTGGCACGGTGACCGGAAGTAATTTTTCCCGCCACGCGTCAAGGTCTCAATTATGAATTTATTTTCTTACGTTTTGTAGTTCTTGAGATCTTTCGATTTACTTGTAGCACATATTTTCAAAAAGCTGGTCTTTGCTCATTGAGGTAAAACACATTTGCAAGAAAGTGAGTTATCCTTTGCCTTGTAGTGTAGCAATTTAATATTTTTGCATACTCTCTACATGCCAATAATCGATCTAAATGTTCCTTGTTTTTCTAAGAAGTGAATTAACTGGCCTTTTTACTAAAGTATCTGAAAACAATCAGAATTCAAGTGATGGGTGTATCCTCTGGATAACTGGATCTGAAGGAAGACTGCGTCTTCCCCAAAAATCCAAGGCCACAATAACATACCATCCTTGAGCGTGCCTTCTGTCATCTGCAAAAAAAAATGACGTACGTCACTGGAAGTGAGGCCTTTTCCCTTTTAGTATGCCTTGACGCTAGCAAATTTGTACTGCTTTGTCCTTATGCTTACGCTTTTAGAGACGATCCCCCCCCCAGAACTTGTGCAAAACCACTGCCCAAGAATGCAAAAAAGTGCACTTCCAGTTGACTTGCGTCCCTCAAAAACAGCTAAAAACGTTTGCCAAGACAGGACAAGACAAGAAGAAACGAGACGAGACGAGATGAGACAAGACAGGACAGGACAGGACAGGACAGAACAGGCCAAGATAAGACAAGACAGGACAGGACAGGACAGGACAGGACAAGACAAGATAGGACAGGACAGAACACGGCAAGACGGAACGAGATGACATGAGACAAGACAAGACAAGACAAGACAAGACAAGACAAGACAGGACAAGAAGAGACGAGACAGGATGAGACAAGACAAACAAGACAAGACAAGAAGAGACAAAACTCTAGACAAGAAAACACAAGACGACTACAAGGCGAGACAAGGAAGGTAAAAGACAAGACAAATCTAATCTCGTACCCAGAGCTCTTGTTGACGAAGCCGAAGGCGAGATCTGGTCTGGTCAAATCCGATTTGTACACGTGATCTCCTGTCAGGAATGTGACAGGCGACGAAAGAGCGCATGCTCCAAATAAATCCTCAAAATCGCTGCCGTTTTTCGCCGTGTTAAACAGCAAATTTGATAGAGCCGTAAAGTTTTTTCTAACAAAACGTGGTCATACGCACATCTTACAGCGGCTACCACTAACACGCGTCCTCAAATGGTTTTCTGCGAGTTCTTGCTAGTTCTGGATTCTATTCGATAACTTGAAGAATGATAAGTAGATCTGCAGGTTACAAAATTCATTTTCGAAAACAGCCTCCATTTAGAGGAAACGTTTCTCTCCCTTGTCGGTGTGATATCTTTCGTTTCTTTGAATTTCTACTCCTTGGCAATTCGTCCACGGCTCCCGTGTTTTCATACAATCAAATAAATAAACAACCTGAAAACGTTTACGTAAATAGAGAGTGTTTCGGCTATTTCACTCAGCTCGCAGAGACCTCGTTGTTTTACCAATGTAATCCTTCATCTTAATTCAATAATTAAAAACGCCGTCGTCATTCGAAATTATTCTTATAAGTCTTTGCCCTGCATTCAGCAATGAAGGAACCTCTGTCAGCGCGCGTGAGAAAATCATGGAAACAGTTGATTGACGTCCACGAAAACTCAGGTTTCAACAAAGAGAAAAAAAAACCCTTCGAGGGCGCGTGCTAGTGGTAACCGCTGAAAGTATGAACCAACTAATTTGTTGTTGTTGTTCTTTGTAACATCAAATTCAACTCAACAGTTACTTTAAAATGGGCTCCTGTTTAAATTTAGTAATTATCATAGCGCGCGCTAAAGCCTTAAGGCAGTACACGTCAGTTTCTTGGTGAGAAGTTTTTTTATCCTTTTTAAAAGTCTTTATTGATATTTAATACCTCCGTTCTCGGGCTTTATCTCTTACATAGAGAGAGTTTTGAAAAGTCTTTAAAGATAAGATAAAATGGTTTACAATTTATATTGAGACGGAAAACTACTTTTTCAGTGAAATTCTTTTTTGAACAGAACTGAAGACTTTGCAAAGAATGACCTTTTGTGCAGACGCCATAGCGCGCGCAGGAGACAACATTCGCGTCATTCGCTCACAATCTAGCCAATCCAAAAAATTGAATTTTCTCACTTGACCAGATTCCGCCTTCGCCTTTGTCATTAGAGATCTGGGTACGAGATCAAAGACAAGTCAAGACAATAGAACACAACGCGAAAAAAGACGAAACAAGACAAGACACTAGACAAAAAAGGACAAGACACAAGGCAAGAATAGACAAGACACAAGACAAGACCCAAGACAAGAAAAGATGTTGCACAAGACAAGACCGTGACAAGACTGACACTTATGGGATTCGTGTCCGAAAACCAGGAATTTCTGATATCAGAAAATGGCGCCAATAATAATGAACTCGAGTAAAGCTAAGCGGGTAAACAATAAGTTTTTGATCATATAAAACGCAGCAATTCTATAGCTTTATTATACGTCTATAAGATTCGAACGTACTTCTAACACCTCATGAACTCACCTTGAGATAACACATGATGAAAGCTGGTAAAAATTATGTCGATTTCATTTACTCGATTGAAGGGTCCATGTGAACTCTTGACTGAGTATAAAACTTCAAAGGAGCGAATGCATCTACAAAGCGAACCACAATAACAAACGTTCAAGTATGCCCGCCTACTGTTGCACAGGCCATGCAAGTACAACATGTGCTTGGGACAAGGGAACCAATGCTGAAGTGTTGGGTTTATGGTGGACAGCAACTAGAATCATGAACAATTGGTGTTCTCAAACACAGGTTAGTTTGGAAGTCTTAGAGAATATATCACGTCACAACAACTCTGTTGAAATCGTTAAGATGATATGGTGTTGGCTGTTTAATAAAGCCATCTTTGCTGCAGCGATTGACGCTGTTTTCCTTTTGCCATTGGTCAGTTTTAAATTTCCGAAAAAAGGAAGGTGGTTTTTCGGTTTTTGATAGTTATTTGTTGCGTTGATTATTAATAAGGTACATTTTTTGGAGAAATTAAAACTTTCATAAGTAGGCTGAGCATGATCGTCCGGGTAAACGTAGTCTTGAATGGGAATGTCGTTGACAGCGACTGACGTTTCGACAACCTGTGCGGTCAGTCAGTGAGTTGTATTATGTCAGTTGATAGTATTAAACCTTGGTTATTGATCTGATTGGTTAATTAAGCGGCGATGTTGTTGATCGTCTGTTAGTTGAGCTGTGACGTCATTGGTGCGTTCCGATCCGTCTATTGTCAAATTGTCGGCTGTCCAGTCATTCTCTCGTAGTAAGTTTTGCTTGAGTCCGTCAAAAAGTCGTTTTGTCGGCGCCGGTAAATGTTGACTACGATTCAGGGGCATTTGCTCTAAGTTAGTAAACCAGGGCTCTAAAGCAAGTCGTTGAGAGTAGACTGTAGAATAAATAATACATGTTGCAGAGTCCAAGTCGATTTGATGTTTCGCCTGTAAATGGAGTTCAGCAACGTGATTGTTGACATCACCATTTCTTGTCACTCGTTTATGTTCAGTCAGTCGCGTGCCAAGGTTTCTGCCGGTTTCACCAATGTTAGTGACCTGGCAGTCGCAGCATTTGATCCTGCATACTGCTCCCTGTCTGTCCTCCAAAGTCCGTATAGTTAAACTTTAACAAGAACATCCATAAAATGTTTTGAAAAAGCCGAATCTGCGGTTTTTGGCGGTTTCCACCAAGTTTTGGGCATTGTGGTTTCACTATTACGGTTGAAGTTATAGTTACAGTGAAGAATAAAACTGACAATTGTTACCTTGACGGCACATCTGTCCACGTCACTAACACCTCATAAGAAGACACAGTGATCAGTCTAATACCTACAACCTGTGCACACAAAGCAAATCATGTACGCAAACGCTGGGATTAATGACCTGCTACGTGTACTATGGTCTACTATTAAAGGATTTAGAAAAAATACGGAGGAGACCAGTTTTTAAGAAACACACACTTGAATCCGTGCTATGTTGCCATGAAATGCGACCATTTTGGACGTTGATTAAAAGCATTTTGAGAAAATCAAATAGACTTGACGATACGTCGACCACAAGAACAAGCGCGGGGCGAGACAACTTCTGACCGATGACCTTACCAAAATGCCCCTGATGAAGACCTTTGCAAAAGATCTCTGCTAGGAGAGAAAGGAGGTTTAGAGGAACTATAACTGAAAAAATGCGTACACAAAGGCTTTATCGTTTCAAATGGAAAACTCAGAGTATCCGTTTCAATCTTCTTTTAAAAAGCCTTCTAATTTAACCATTTGAACAGTTGTCCAAGATGTTTTTGAAAAACCAGCATCCGTTAAACAACTTTAAAAGAATTAAAAGGTTAACTAACCCGTTTTCAAACATCCGTCCGTTTTAGAAAGACGTTTAAAAGGTTTCTAATCTGTGTTCTGTAGAAAACCTATTTTGCAAGTAAAAGAAAAATTTCCACTGAATGGCTTGTAGCAGCGAAGAGGGAAACCGGAAAGCGGATTGTGGATCCCTAAGCCGGTTACTGTTATAGATAACATACCCAGACAAATAAGGAGCACTTTTCACTAAATAAACACTGTTATTAATCACCTTAGGAGGAGGTGCTGTAGTCTTTGCACAGACATGCATCAAACTTATTCCTGGCAATGGAACATTCAGTGATATATTGAATGGATTTGATGATAGACTACTGGGACCAATGGTTCTGACAGGTTCCTAAAATGATTTAAAAAGAAACAACAGTGTAGGTACATTATCGTATTATAATGCACGGCAAGAAGGAGCAAAGAGTACAGCACTTGTCTACGGAAAATCCATAAATCAGCAGTACTGACTAGCAAATTTGAAAGAAGTGGAAGCACACTACGCAGGACACAGTACGAGAGATATTCATCGACACTGGATACCCGGGTTGACGAGGCAAGAGACCATCTGCATGTACCGACGTTCCTTAGCGTAAAAACTGTTGCAACAATGTTACCAATGTTGGAACTGTTCGAATCAATATCTAAACAATGTTGTGACAATTCAAAACAATATCAAAACGGGTGGGCCTAGAAAGCGAGAATGTGGAAATGGGAGTTGGGAGCGGCGCGTTAAGAGTTGCGAGTTGAGTATCGAGCTACGAGTAATGGAAAATTGACGAGCTTAGCTGCAGTCTGTCTATTCTGTCAATTAAAAGAATTAAAAGGTACATCTTGCGACTAAATAAAACGCTGTCGAACGATCAAGTACTTGGTTCGACTAGTTAAAACTTTCAAAAAAGACGCTTTTTCTAGTTAGCCATCAGGCGTAAGGCGTTCAGCGTTCTCTTCTCGCGGCGTGGGACTTGTAAAAGCTGACGGCATGTGACAAATTTCGCGTGACCGGTAAGGGATCGAACGCCTGGGTACTAAACTGGATATACCCGAAAATGCTAATCATTTTATGCTAATTTTCATATTTCCAAAGTTTGGAAAATTAGAGATTATTCTTGGGGTGTCTTGGTGTTGCGGACGGGTACAATCACCAAATAACATAACCAAAAGCGGGACTGAAAACACTGAACAAAACTCACACCAGCACACTACTCAATATATAGTTTCCGAAACAACAAGAAGCCCGTTTTGTTTTTAGTGGATAAAAGCGCAAGGCATAAGTAATAAATATCATGGTTTTTTCACCTGGTGACGACGAAGCTCATTAAACTGATCATCACTAGGAAACGCAGGTGATCCCATCTCTTTCCACAGCTGATATGGATTACCACGGGCATTATCCAGCTTATATACGACAAAAACTAAATCCTCTTTTACTGGTAAATTCACTACAGACACGATCACTTGTGAAATAGCAGTTCTCCCTGATGTGTCATTGCTGTTGTACAGGATGGCTACCAATTCCCAATCAGTAATGTCAGAGTACATTTGAGGCTTCCGAACAGATGCCATTACTCCAACATCGTTGTCACTGTTGTGAGTTGTAACAAGGCTTTTGATTTGTTGATCGCCTAACAGAGCCAGCAGTCCCATTGCACTAAGAACAGGTTTCTTCAAAAATTCAACCTTTCTGGGATGAGAGTGGTTCATTTGGAATCGAGCTAACAGTGTGCGTTGACGGAAGTAAGATGGAGGATAACCAATAAACCCATTATCGTTACTTAGTAGGCTGTATCTGGAAAGAGTAAGAATAACAGTTATTCCAAGACACGTTCAGTCACTACTTTAAATTTGAATTATTACGAAGTGAGAATTTTTTGGACTTCGAAAAATAAAAAAACTTCAGAGTCATAGCAGAACGATTTGGAGGTTTTTCTTTGAAATTTTAGACTCATTGAACTGAGGAGATACAGTGTCTAAATGATGTTACACCTATAGGACATAGCTCCTAAAGCATGTCCTAAACGCTATTTTTTACCATCGACAGAATTCATTTACGATCTAGCGAGAATCAAATAAAGGAAGTCAGCAGATTGCTATTCTGCTAATGACCCTGTCGTTTTTTGCCACGCGAAGGATTTCGTAAACGCTAAAAGCCATACAAGAAAGAAACCTCTGCTCACAAGGTAGGGACTTAAATGGTTAAATATTGTACCTGATACTGAAGTTATGTTTTAATAACATCTCTTGATGCTGTGCCAGTATCTAATAGCAAAAATAAATTGTCATCTGATAAATACCTTAAGCTACAAGCATGTACTGCGATGACTTTACCAAGGATCCAAATGAAATAAATTCTTCGCTGTCATTATCAATGGGAGATTTAAAGTATGAGCTAGCTGTGATAGCAAGAGTGACGTGGCTACAAGGTTTGAGCAACACAGGCCCAAGGCTAAGGTTTGAAAACAACTACTTTTCGCCCTTGATCCGTAAAATAAAAAAAAAAACAGAGCTGGTTTTAAGCTCCAAGCATCGATGACGGCCAATGGTCACTTCCATTCAAGTAAGAGTTGAAACTATTAGTCACCAGCCCTTTGTGAGAAACTTGGGAGTGATACTTGACCAGGATGTGGCAATGGATAAACTCATAGGTATGATATGTAAAACCTCCCAACACCATCTTCGAAACATAGGGAACGTTACAAAATTCTTAGATCAAGGTTCTGCTGAAACCTTAGTTCACTCCATCGTTCTTTTAAGTGTTCCGAGATCTAGAACTGTGACTTACGGAGATAGGGCGTTCCCCATCCCTGGACCAAGGCTTTGGAATGAGCTACCAGATTCTTTAAGAAAGGCTGCCGACATCAGTGCCTTTAAAAGTCAACTAAAAACCCATCTCTTCAAGAAAGGGTACCTTTAAAAGTTGTTTTGCCTTGATTCATTTGTGAATTCGAAGGTGTTGCATCTAACTACAAGATCATGATTTCTTTTAGGCTGTTCTGTTACAGTAGTCTATACTGAGCTTATATCAAGTTTCCTTACTTTGACAACAATAGCTGCATATGTTGCATCTGCTCTCCAGTCTTCAGTTTTGCTCCATCCAACAAGTGGATCTCCTTCATCATTGTACACAGGTACATTCTTGTACTTAGGAAACCTTTGTGCCATTTCCTCTTGGGTCACATATTCATCATGTAAAATGGTCATAGAGTGTCCCTGGCCTTTGATGTGAAATGACACAAAGTCAAGCCTTACCCCTCTCTCACCAGTAAAGAAGTTAGTTCCATTGTAACAGTGCTGCAGCAAAGTCTACAAAGTAAAAATAGATAAAATCACACTTTTAGGTCTTTTAGAAAACATTTCAAAACATCTATAGGCATTATTTACCAAGAGTGAGATCAAGATGGCTGAATATTGGCCAAGTTTTGTTTTTGTTTTTGTTTTTCTATCTTGGCCCATAAAAATGCACAAAACAAAGGATCGCGGCCAATAATCAACGATCATGACTGAACAATTTACTATATAGTCTACGCAGTCCATAGCAAGCAAGATAGACCCATCTTGTCTGTACAGGGTAGCCAACTGGGACACAGGACTTGCTTTGTTTCATCTTACCCACTAATGCAGAAGGCAGCTATATAATATAACATAACAGATATTAAGTATGGCTCTGTTTAAGCCACAGTTTTCACTAAAAAAATATTGAAATTGTCTTTTAGCTTTAATTTTTTTGTGGTAATGACAGCGTGAAACAAAAAAAAGTTTTTAACCAGAAAATTACCAATTACTGATTACGAGTCTTCATAGCCAATAACATCACGGCTTAACTGACAGACGACAATAACATCGCGACGTAATTGACCAATCAGATCAATAACCAGAGTATAATACCATCAACCGACGTGAAACAACTCACTTTGACTCTGAAGATGACTACCGCACAGGTTGTTGAAACGTCAGTCACTGTCAACAACAACAACAGTCCTATTCAGGACTACGTTCACCCGGATGATCAAACTCAACCTACTTTTGAAATGACTCCTGGGTTCAAACCTTTCACAAACTAGTTTATTTTGAAACCAAATAGAGTAAATAATTAAATAACAAGGAAATACAATAATTTATTATACATGACTAAGTAACACAATATACACAGCAAATGTATATATTTGCAGTGATGACAGTCTGAAAAGAAAGAAGTTATTATCCAGAAACTGGCTTATTCTAAAACCAGATAGAGTAAATAATTAAATCTTAATTTAAGACTGAAATGCAATTAGTTTATTATATGACAAAGTAACACAATAATCAAGTAACCCAACATGTAGAGGCAATAGTAAAGTACAGTTAAAAGGATTTGATGCACTAGTTTATTGTTAGGAACCAAAAATGATCAAACAGTCATCAGTTGAAATTAAAAAAGACAATTACAGACCCAAATCAGCCTTGTCCCATGGCCTTGTCTCAGTCGGTGGGAATAAAAGACACTCTAACTTATGTAACAACCTCACAAGTTGTAACCGAGACGATCAATACCTACTGTCTTCAAGGATTGTGGGAAAAGGGCAGCCTGGCATGGGACCACATGAGACCCAAGTTATATTTGGTTAACCCACATTTGGAGGGTCCACAGTTTCCTGCACTAAAAATGGAAAAACAATAACTTATTAGTGAAAAGTGATACACAAGTAACGATTAAACATACCCAAAATATTGGAGCTGTGCTTGGGTGCCCTGCTGCGGGTCCTCCAAGGCGCAAAGAAGGATGGGCAATTTTAAGTCCCTCAGAACATGCATCATAATACCGAAGGAATCCTTCAGTCGACACATGCAGGCCATCAAAATGCTTTTCATTCTCTGGTTCATTCCAAGATTCAAAATTCCACTCTGATACTTCTTTTACACCAAAGACCTCTTCAGAAAATTAAGAAAATAATGCATTGTTAATTCTTTGCTTTTAGGCAATTGATATCGCAAACACATTCCCTATCACAACAGCAGCATGGTCAATTTAAAAAAGATTCCTACAAATTCAATCATGCAGCTTGCACAGAGATGAAAAGATAAAAATAGAGTCAACTCTCCCTCATACAGCCACCTCTCAGAATCAGCTAAAGGTTATCATCTTAGAGAGCTGCAGGCCAGTAACAGAGAGAATAAGAGAAAATGAAAGGAAAACAGCATGGATCAACTCTAAGAGTCTATTTTAGGAAATAATGCCACCACAAAGAGGTGTCTGTTAGGAGGGAGTTGACAGTAAAATACACTAAGCCTTATAAAGCAGAAGGAAACTTAAGTAAGCTGCCCTTTAATTAACTGGTCTTTATTAGAACCAGAAGTTGTCTTTATAATTATTTATTGGTCACCTAGAATTTTACCTACTGAATAACTGAGACAGACCGACTGACTGACTGACTGACTGACTAACTGAAAGTCAAAAGCTAATTGCTTGGCTTTTGCTAATCTTATGTCTTTGAGTAATAATAATAATAATGATAATAATAATAATAATAATAACAATAATAAAGGTTTATTATTATGTAACATGACACTACCATACGATGTCACAATGATAATTGGTCCTGGGACAACCCTATATTTACGCTATAAACCCAGTTTTCAAGATGCTCAGTCCTTAAATGGGGTATCTTTCAGGATAGTGGTCCTTTGATATGGCACCTGAAAGTACAGGACCTGATCCACTGTAAACACCTGAAACTAAACTACACCTGATATACTTAACATTAACCAAATCTTGGAACCATGTTTACCCTCAAATTCTAGCTTTATGAATGTCCAGGTAAAGAAAAGAGACAAAAAACAACCTGTTTGAACCAAATAGCATGAAATAATGTTTCACCATTTTCTGTTTATGTGCCTTAAAAGGGGTGTTGATTTTCAATTTTTCCCCTAAGATAAGGTCAGCATTCAATAACCTTTGCAATACACACCAAACCATTTACAAGGCACTGGCCCTCACCTTGTTTAAAATACTCCCTGACTTCCTTCAAAATTTGAAGAAAACATAAGCTCTCTTGGGGATCTTACAGTATTTTAATATCTGCCATAAAAATTTAACAGTGGCAGATCAAGAGGAGGGGCCTAAGCAGGAGGGGGGAACAGGCACCCACTTACTTTTAGCCCAAACTGAGATCCTCAGGGTCAAGAAAAGTTAATTTTAAAACTGGCCCCCATCTTTATCTTAAAAACTGGATAAGCGGGCTCCACTTTCTTATTCATCACTGTTTACTTGTTCCAACAGTGAACACCATATTGCTTCTATTTATTTTTGTATTGATGATGTAAAACCTTAAGTCCTGGCCAAAATCATCTGTGTCATCAAATAAAATTGATGCAAATTGACAGGGAGTCTCCCGGATAAGCCCAGAAAGTCATCTGAGACCAGTGGCATAGCCAAGGGAGGGTTCCAGGGTTCTGGAACCCTCCCTTGGGCTGCGGCACTGGCTATAGTTTCAAGAGGAATGAGATTTTAGCTGTTAAAGAAAATGAGATGGCTTAGCACATTGTGCAGACTTAAACAGTACTTGTCGGCAACCATGACTGAAGCGAGAGTCCGCTGCACTTGCTCTGAGGAACATTGCATTATGCAAATTGGCCCTAAGGCCAACAATCGACACCTTTGCACATAAGCATCCATGATGTCTCTTTCTTGCTAATACCCTAACTGAGTAAACGGCAAATCACAGGACTACAGTGTGTGTTTTAATGTATTCAACGATTATTAACATATATGTTGTAGTTAATTTTTTGTCTCAGGGAATTTTTATTGTTCTTTTGTTTCAACTGCATTAGTATACATTTCTATACCCAAAAACAAAAGAAAAACAAAAATTACCTGAGATAAAAAATTAACAATCCACAACATAAACATTATAAAGTCTATCACACTATCTCTTCACTGGAAGTGAAAAAAGCTAGCTTTATTTGGCACTGCTGTCATTGGAAATTTGTGCTCAGAATCACAAAACGGGATTTCTGAGGACTAAAGTATAAACTTTTCCGGGAAACCCTCCGAAGATTGATTGTCAATCTAGACAAAAATACCACATTAGGAACCCCTCTATGCAAAAATGCTGGCTATGCCCCTTGAGACTTCCCGTTCAATATTGTAATTATTTCTTAACTACTATCAAAATGTCGTAACATACAATATTGGGCAAACCAATAAATCAATAATGTGTGTTTGCCTACGCCCCACTTGGAAATGAGCTTTTGTTGTGTGTGGCTAGCCTGCGAAAACATCTGTTTCTCCTCGCTCTTCGTCGCTGAGGACGTTTCGCGCGGAGGAACGTCTGCGACTCAGCGACAGAAATTCCATACTGATGACGTAAAATCTGTCCAGAATCCAGTCAGAAGCGCTGATTGGTCGACGGAGCAGTTATGTTGTTTTAGCTATTGTTTACAAATGACAGACAAAAGACAAAAGGCCAAAAAGGTCAAATGTAAACACAAAGAATCTCTAACAAAACAGTCAATATTTGTGGAATATAGTCTTCTCTAGAAGAAGCATTTGCGTTTTGCTGCAGCTCGTGGGCAGATCAACACAACACTTTACCAAAATCGACCAGAAGACACGCAAAATTAGACATACTTATATTTGGAACCCCATGACTACCGGATTTATTATGTAAACATTGATTTTGCATCATCAGTATGGAATTTCTGTGACTGAGTCGCAGACATTCCTCCGCGCGAAACGTCCTCAGCGACGAAGAGCGAGGAGAAACGGATGTTTTCACAGGCTACTGTGTGGCTAGCGTAGTTAAATCAATTTCTAGTTTGATTGATTGATTGATTGATTGATTGATTGATTGATCAACTGGATAAAGGTTTGGTTACACCACCTATCAGATGTTTTCCTAGGGCTGCTACAAGACCTCTCCAAGCATATATTTGTTGAACGTCATCGAAATCTGAAAAGAAGTTAGATGGATTTCCCATCAGTTCAAATCCAGGCCGTAAGCCATTGTCAACAAGCAGCTTAATTGCGTTGTCCAGATACGTAAAGTTGTAGACAACGTCCTGATCAACTGTTCTTTCCATAGAAATCAGGTCTAACAGCCAATGAATTCGCACTTGTTTTATTCCCTTTTTAGGTACAGAGCCAATGTACGCCAAGTTCTGCATCTCATCGTTTGTAAAGATGAATTTTTGGAAGTCTTGGTGAGGATCTGGAGGGCAGAATCCAGTGCTTTCCCAGAAGTGTTGCAATGGACCAACAACGCTACTGGCATCCAACAAAACATTAACAACGTCTACTTTGGTTCCAGCTATTAGCGAGAACAGCATTGAACTAATTAGTTCTTTACATAACATCATCATGAGAAATTGAAGTTAAAATGCAACTGAAATTATCCGGGATAATGCATGTTTACTGTTCATCTACGTGAACAAGATCGGACAAGATTTAGACAGTGCTAGGAACAGCGGACTCGTAAATTTATCGTGCCAGTCTCCCCCCCGTCCTAGTCGTTGATGGAGCCTTTTCGCTCACGTGACCAGCAGGTATGCAAATTTAAGGGTCTCAATGGAGTGGTGGCTTGGTTATCGGCTAACATTTTTTTTTCATTTACGGTTAACAAAAAGTTAAAAATTAATTTCTTTGTTTCAAAAAGTTTTCTATCTTTAAAAGAAAAATAAAGGTCTTTGGATCATCTCGGGATGAAATAAGCTATTCTTTTGAAAAAAATTTAACATTTGATAGATCATACTTTTAATTTTATAAAGTATTTCACTTCCTGAATATTATTATACGCATAGAAATTTCAATGGTCAATTTAAAACAATCTCTGTAAAAAGCAAAAGCTGACACGCGAACGCCCAACTTAAGGCCGGGGCGCGACATTCATTTTTAACAGAAATGGCTGTTTTAACACTAGAGACGGATTATTCGTGTGAGACGGGTTATCCGTTTGATAATTCGCGTCAGATAGGTAAAAAGTGTTAATTTGAAAATGGATATGGTATTAAATTTGAATGAACAATCTGCCTGAATTTATTTTATCCGTCAATTTTGACGGACAGTTTGAAGATGGATTATCCATTTCAGATTGTCTGTGTACAGCCACCCCCTCCCCTCAGAAAAAAATCGGAGAAGGGTTTCTGTGGGGGAGGGGGCGGCTTTACAAAGGCTAGTCTCAGACGGATAATCCATTTCTAGCTGTAGTGTGAAAACGGCCAATAACAAAATTCCCGTGTCCAGTGTTTTTAATAACAGCGAAGGATTGTAAAGAACGACTGTCTGCCGTTGCCTTGTCCATAGGCCTTTTTATTCCGCGCGGCTAATGCGTTTCGCGTGGTCCGAGCGAGTTTTTTTCTCAGATACGCCACCGAAATGCCTTGACCGACAGTTGCGTGGGAAGACGCCGTACAGGGACTAGGCATGGTAGTGCCTACCTTAGCGTCAGAGAAAAACAGGGAATTGTTACAAGGAATTGTTGTTTATCGGTAACGTGTTTTACAAACAGTGACATCTCTGCGTGTTGTTTCACTAGTATTTCGATGGCACGACCTCCTGAAAATCACAAATATTAAACCCCAGTATTTTCGCTATGGAAAAAACTTGGTTCTTCGAGAGAGAGGTGGAAATGGAGCATAGGTCTAGGTCAACACCTAAAATGTGCTTGGCCTAACGTGCGTACGGAGTTAAGGGTAGCCGGGAAATAAACAACGCAAACATAAGTGAGTTTTGCACCTTCCCTAAAATAACAAATCTAGGGAACAGTTTATTTTACGGTTAACTCTTTCTTACCCTATTTACGGCTAACGGTTAAAATTTTTCAATTTTACGGCTATCGACTAAATTTTTGGCCGTTTTACGCCTATCGATCGCGAATAACCCCATTGAGAGCCTGATATGACCCTTCCAAAACAAGAAAAACTGCGTTCTTACCTACCACTTCCCTAGCCTGCGTAGCAAGCGTTTCCGCGCGAGTTCGTCGAGAACGTCGGGACGAGAGCAAAAAAAAAAAGGATTGATTGACGATTGACTCCCCTCTCCCTCCCTCTTCCACCTTTTTTTTTTTTGCTTCC